TGGCTGCTTCTGGTCCCAGCAGACAGGGACAGGGCTGTCACAGAGCCGGTGTCAGAGGGCTAAAAGCTGTAGGGCTACACAAGTTGTAAAACAAAGGCGCAGAAGCTTTTCCTAGCCGTGCCTGTCCTGCCCGCTGCTAGGAGGGCAGACACGATACACCAGCACACGGTTCTCTCGGCTCTTTCCCCTCCGCTGGAGACTGGTTCTAACGGATCACTGTGCTGTTGTCTGGTTTGATTGTGCTGACCGTTACGTGCCACTGTTCCCGTAATAACAATTTTTCTTCTTTGTTCAAATGAAATTTCTAATGACACGTGTGATGGGTTGTTTTAATTCTTTTCCCTTTCCAAATCCACCTTCCTGTTGCAATGCATGATGGGCAGGCTCAATATTGTGCATGACACCCGCTACAAGTGTTGGTAGGTGCCAGCTTTGTTTCTTGATTATCTTAAACCTGTGGTGCAGCTCACGGACCCTCAAAATCCACTGCTAGATTTTAACGTACAGCTCTCGTGCCAATCCGTCTCCCTGAGCCTCCTGCACTAACACCTGTCAATTAAATGCGGTCGTTTTATTTAATTGACACGGGCACACAGACGTGGTTAATTATGTGTAGCCGTTGTTTGAATTGCGCATCGTTCCTTGGTGGATTTTGATTGGACTATGAGTTCCAGTGTTTAGAAACTATCTTCTGTTAAATAAAGACTGTACCTTACTGTAGCCACATAGACCTATACTGTCCTTCAACGAGATTAATTTTTGTTTGCAGTAAATGTTTGGGTTGAATTTTTAAAGGACAAAAATTTGTAAATGTAAGGGCATTTAAAAATTCCTCTGTTGATTTTTGTATTGAAATGGTTAAGCTTGTTTGTGTCGATTTCCTTGATTTGATGGTAACAAGCATTTTCCCCTTTTTTTCTCTTTCATTCCCTCCCCTCTTTCTCCCTGGAATGCTGTCCTGCTTTGCACTGTGGTTGCATGTCACGCGCTGGCCATGATGTCTCGGGCTTTTTGCTGTGGTAAATTCCATGCTCGATTACCCCACCTCACGTCGCGCTGGTCCCCATACTGCTCCACTCTTCGGTATGTTTGCTTATGTGATTTTCCTTCCGAAAGTTCCCATGGTGCACGGTGCTGCCCCAGCCACTGTGTCTGCAGCAACAACATCTGCCACAAGTGTTCCCTTCGCTGCAACAGCCACAGCCAACCAGGTTTGCTAATTTACAGCTTTGTTCCTTACCGACAACTTGAAATTGGTGCTTTTCATGAGCATGGGGGTTTGGATTTTACCTCTTGTTGGCCTACACATTCTCTCGGAGACCTGCAGCACAGCTGAACAAGCCTTTATCCGGGCTGAAAAGGTGCTGCGGTTCCATTTCTGATGCTAAAAATAATTGTTAATAGAGTTTCTGACTCAGTCCAAACATTTACGGGCCGTGCTGCTTCTTTCTGCTCTCAGAGGTGGAAAGAGAAAGGAAGAATACATGAAGCCCATTATTTGTTTCTATTTCTGTGAAGCCGACAGTTCCTGTTAGCGTAGAGCCCCAGTGACAGCCAGAAAACCTTGGTGCAGAGGGGCTGCAGGGTCCTGGCTGGAACAGTCTGAAGGTGTTCTGACTCCACTTCCAAGAGCAAAACAAAAATCAGCACGGGACGCGCAGAAACTTCCTTTAAACCTTTGTTTCAGCTTGCGAGTCTGCTAGGAAGGGGCCGGTTACCTGTCGCCGCAGACAAGCTTCCGTTAGGAAATGCCCGTTAGAGCCTGGTTTTGTTTCTACATAGCTGCCCTGACTGTTTCCATCTTTGGTTGTACTTCAGGAACAAAAGAATAGTGTTTTGCTAGGTAAAAGTCCTCCCAGGAAAGGCAGAAACTGGAGCTGCGCCTGCGAGCAGGCCGTGGGCTGCCGGCTCCGTCCAGCCGGGCTGTCTAAAGCGCAGATTGTGCAGTACGGCTGGCGGAAAGTGCAGCGGTAAAAGCTGCTTAAAGACCCTCTTGTTCCTCTTAAAAAACAAATTATTTTTTGAGATGTACTAGGAAGTTAGAGTTGCCGATGGTGTGAAACTGTCAGTTCTGGTCGAAGACGCAGGTATTCTTCTTGGCTCAGTGGGAATCACACGTGTGCCTTTTAGGAGAGGGATCTGAACGTTTTCATCAGCATTTTGCCGGTGTGGTTCTGTATGTGTAATTAATTCTGGAGTTAAATGTCAGTTGAAGGCAGGCTGACCTGACGTACGCAGCTCCCTCAGTCGTTGGAGCTGACTCCACGAGCAGTTCCCAGATCCCGTCGTGAGGCTGTCGGGTTTGCAGCTGCGGCTGGACGCTGAGCAGCGGTGCCCGTGCCCTGCTGCTCCCGCAGCTCCGTACCCCCGTGCTCGGGGCTGATCCCACCGAGCTGGCGGCCCCCGGCATCG